CGAGCCCCGCTACAGGGGCCTGGCCGACAGAGGCACTGAGTGCCTGCAGCTCCCAGGGAACGTGACTCCCAGTCTCTGCCTGTCAGCAGCGGGAAGGGCACTGCACTCGGCTCGCTGCCTTCCCGTGGCATGGCTGAGCCTGGCTCGCAGGCCCTGCCCCAGCCCGATGCTCTGCCGTGGAGCCCAAGCCTGCTGAGTCCAGCAGAGAGCAGCAGTGCCCACGCCCGGGCCAGACATCGCCCCACCTCAGCCAGAGCGGGGTGCAGGGGGACCGGCTCTGCATGCACAGTGCTTGGCTGCACCAAACACGCATGTGACACGCCCTCGGACTGAACCCCACTGCCCCTCCAGAGCCCGCTGGAGAAGACGCCGTCGCACGGAGCTGGGCTGCTCCACCAGAGCCACCTGGCTGTGCTGGGGGGGACGTGTCACCGTGTGCCCACCAGTCCCCACTGCCCGTTATCCCCTGTTGTACCGAGCTGGGACGGGCCTGGTGCCCAGGGCCCAGGAAAGGGCTCTGAGACAACAGCCACGGGGCAGACCGGCTGTGCCTGGCAAGGAGTGATTTCTGGGCATTCAGCAGCCTGGGGCCTAGAGAGACACCCCCCCCACACCCTCCCAGGCGTATCAGCAGCAGGGGGCGAAGGGGGGTGTCCCTTCAACCCCCGCCCAGCTGTGTCTGAGACATTCCCCGTGCGCAGGCTCGCCATGGGACTGGCCATGGGGGACTTTCAGCTTTACCATGATCCCAGCGAGCGGGTCCTGTTGCCCAGGTCTCAGCACGGGTCCTAATGCCAAACCAGCTCCCGGCGATGCTCCCCCCAAGACCCCAGCTCACCCGACCATACCTTCCAGAGGCCAGAGAACTTAGTGCAGTGTTGGCTCATGGTGGCTCTGTCCTGGGGAGGAAACGAGAAGACCAGATGGTTAAAATCTGCTCCACACAAATCTGTGTTGTTGGCAACTGGCTGCAGGCTGAGAAACCCTCCCCAGGGGACTGGGATGGAGGGGCGAGGTCACCGCACTGAGCTGGTGCCTTCCTCTGCCATTGCTACCCCCTCCTCTAGCCCTTCCCTCCTGCAGCCACGGCCATCTGGGTCTGAGCCAGTGCCACGGCCCCATGGCCAGTTTGTGCCCTGGATCACACCCCCGTGGGGACATGGAGAGCAGCAGGAGGCCCCAGCCTAAGGCATGGTGCCACAGCTAGGGCCAGGCACCCTAGGGATACCCCACCACTCCCATTGTCTGCAGACACTGGTGCTTTCATGGGCGAGGGAGGGGCTCATCTGGAAGGCACGTGGGTGGGATGGGGGGCTGGGATCCCCCTGCTGGGGTGGGACACAGACACGAAGCACAGATGCCTCATCCCGATCACATGACCCAGTGCCTGCATCTCAGATGCAGCCCAGCCCCCAGGGAGTTAATGCTCAGGCCTGCATTTGCTCTGCTCTCTCCACTCGGGTGCTCAGGCCCCAGCACCTGTTGCTAGGTCTGACCCTAGTTAGTGTTTGCTGCTGCCTACAACATGTCTGTCGGCTCCCTCCGGCTCACTCGCCGTCCTGGCAGCTGGGACTGTAAGTGCCCTGGGGCGGCTGGCTCTTTGCAGCCAGCCCGTCAAGCCCAGACTTAGCCCCTCTCTGTGAGGATTCGGGACCTTGCCAAGGATGGTTCCTGCAGTGGCAGCCCCAGAGGGAGGTTTTACAGTGACAACCCCCTGCCCTCAGGACAAACCCCTGGCGGGAGCCGCTGCAATCGAGTAGGAGAGAAAGCAGTGCGGCTCCTAGGAGTCCATCATCCCCGGAGCCCAGCCACGCTGGCGAGCTGCTGTCCCTGCATTTCCACCACGCCCAGGGCAGTCTGAGCTCAGACACTAGCCGAGAGCACTAACCCCACAACGCTGCCGCAGCTGGGAACTCTGAGCCTTCTCTGCCACCTCTTCTGTCACCGCTGGCTCCTGCGTCTGGCGTGTCCTGCAGGGTGCCGGGGCGGAGCTGTGTGAGCGCCCGAAGGGCAGGGCTCTCATCAGCATCGCTAGATGCTGCCGCCCCGTGTCCAACCTCAACCTGAGCCTCAGGGCAGCAGGTTCCTACGGGCGGACGCTCTGCTCCAGGACAGAGTCCTTGGGCCCCGTCAGCAAACTGCTGCTCCTGCCCGGTCGGACAGTCCTGCTCAGCCTCCCTGGAGAATCCCCGTCCCTTTGGGTGCCCACGCGCCCTTCCAGCTCCAAGTCAAAGAGCATCTTGAAGCGAGCGCTGGCCAAGGGAGGCTGCTCCCTGCACTTACCTGGTGAGGAGCAGCTGGACTCCCGCGGGGGTGACCTGGCCAGCAGTGGCTCTGGCTGGGTTTTTATAACCTCCAGATAGAGACAGAGACAGGCAGAGCATTACCGAAACCCCTAGCTCAGCACATGGCGGGCAGGGATCTGGGGCAGAACAAAGACTGTTCTGTAGAGCAGCTAACGCACGGCCCAGCCAGCAGTGCCAGGCTCCCTGCTCAGCCAGACCCCGAATGCAGCAGAGACTGCCCTGGGCTCATCCCCGAGGGGGTCACCCTCCTTCCAGATGGCAAACAGCGGCTCTGCCTTGAGCGGCCTTCCTGGAGAACCGGGGGGCCTCTGGCCTCGCTCACCCCTCAGTGCCTGCTTTGCTGCCCCATCCAGTGCGGGAGAGCGTCTCGCTCTTTCCTATGGGGCTGCACCCATCTCCCAGCCAGTGCCAGCAGCCCCCCTGGATGAGTCAGGGGGTGGG